TTGGACGGGGGGATTTCGAGTTTTGCTTAATGATCGGCTTCATCCTTTCCCGTCGCAGTTCTTATCGACACTGCCTCTTTCTTTTATCACAAATACATGATAAAGGCAGGAATGTAGGACATTGATATCAGAACCTCCAATCCTGTGATATGTCAGATATTTCAGCACATCGCATTTGTGATACTTTCTTGCTCTTCAATGTTCAGTGTCGATAGTATTGTCCGCATTACCTCAGGTATCGATAAGTAGGACTTCACTGCTTTGTGGTTTGATTAGGTGTTATGTGTCGGCACAACACCCACGCTTTTTGCAAAATAGCCCTTCTGCACTGTCGTATTTGCAGCTGCATTTTCGAAAGGCTGCACTCAGGTGTGGCATATTAAGGGCGGCTTATTTAGCGTGCTAACTGAGGGGGGGGGGGGGGGGGGGGGGTATCCCACCAATCACTGCCAAATCTCCCCAGCAAACCGCGACCCCTCCCCCCGCCCCCGCCCGAATGAAAACCTTGACTTCCCGGCAGCTCATACCCGACCAGATCGTTGACACGGTCGTTGAAACCGTAAGACAGACCGAGTAAAAATGTAGCGAATCATTGCCCTGGGATCTACTGGCCTTTGGTCAATGTACTTCCACTGACGACGACTCCTCCGAGAGAAGTTTTTGGAGGCAAACGCAGTTTACCCCTCGGTTCTTTCCCAGTAACGCCATTATGCTTATTGTAAAATTTTGTCAATCTAGGATGTGGCATTTTTCCGGGGAGGGGGAGGGGGAGGGCAAGGATAGAGTAGACAATAGGGACAGCTCCACGTGCGTCCCCATCCTTCGCTTTCACGAACTGCGCTTACTTGCCTGTCGTGTGATGCACTGTCGAACAGGCCTGTTTTATAGCGAAGCTTATCACGGTATCAACAAAGCATTGCCCATACTATTTTCTATTTACTTGTCATTATGAAGCACGGAAAGTTTGCTGGTGTTTTCATATTTTTGAACAGCCACGTGTAACTAATCAGTTGCCGTAAGGGCACTGACACAGCAATACAGCTGTGGCACAGTCCAACGCAGTCATGCCATCCCGATTTTTGCGATGGCTCCAAATGTACAGCGTACATCTACGCGTTCCAAGCAAGCAGGGGCGCGACTTAAAGGTGGTTACTAAAAACGAACTCAGCGGTCCGCAGGCGTGCCCAATTTGGTGCGTGCCGTCAATTAGCATTGCATTTTCTCGACCTGATTTTTACGTGGCTGCCTATAACCGGTAAGTGCCAATATTAAGTCACGTACCTATAATTTGGTAACATACCATAAATTTGGTAAGGGGACTAATGCACCCGGGGCCTCTTTGCCCGCACTACCCCGCCTATGTACGCCCATAGTCGCTGTCGTATCCACAGTGATTGATGTTTGCCTCCAGCAGTTCATGAGACTAAAATCGTGCCTCCAACGCCCAGTGTACCGCGGCCAAGACACACGCGTTAACTCAAGACGTCCGGAGGGTGTGAGCTGAATGGCCACAGAGCATCTTTGGAGCACTTTTAAGGTCATGCAGCACGGGCTTGTAACATTGTAATGCAACGTTGACTGATCCGATAGCAACGTAGCTCCGAACGAGTCCAACGTTTTATGCACGGCATACCAATAAACTTGTACGAAGTTCAAACGACCGCCGCTGGGCGATTACCGTTTGGTCACCACCTTACTTTGTTGCCAGCCGGAAACGCCAAGTCAGTCATGTTTCTACCTCTGTTGTTATATTTCTGGCCACCTTAATACTGCCGCAATGTTCTGATATGGCACAGTTCCAGTGTGATCCACAATCCACAGTTTACCGAATACTCACTGCTGCGACACCTCCGACAGCGTCAAGTATAGCTGATAAGTTATCTACGCAAACAAAATTCACGATCGTCCTTAATCTGCGATACTACATTCCGTGCAATTGTGCCTCTTATGTAAATCAGCGGTCTCCTAGAAGTGAAAATTCTAGATTCATCGTTGCTCGCGCAGCAAAATCAATATTTTGCATGATTTGTCGCTCAGTTTGTTTCACCACGCATACAAATACTGGCAATCCCATGAACCTAAAAATGGACCCTCCCACAGCCAGTACAGAAATACTGTACATCCCCACATCGTAGCCGACGCCATTCTGCAATCCAGGACTCCCAGCGCAGATCCCTTGGTGTAACAAAAAATAGACAGAGTAAAGTGAAATGTGTGCCGTTGTCGGAAAAGTCACCATGAGGTAAAAACTATGTTTGGCCTTTCATCTGCATCGAAGTTCCCTCATCACTGGATGAACAATTTCCTTTACCTAACCTAAAGACCTAAAGATTACTTCGAAACGCACGACAGCTGACGCCAACCAGCCATTCTCGTCGCGGGCGCCGCGTTGGGTGACGGATTAGTGAATGGCTCGTTTGTGGATTTTTGTCTTGATGCTGGTCATGATTGAAGCTTTGGTGGGCTGTCTGACAGAAGCAACGTAGCGATCATCAGCTTTTAGGGCAGATTATTAATATCAAAGCACGATATGATATGAAGACTGGCATGTAGCGTCGTGAATCTCTCACCGAAGCCTCCCAAGGACAGTTGAGGACGTCAATACTATCTTGCTGACTTATCCTTGCCTGCAGTGCTGTAGTCCTGACATTGATATCATGTGATGTGCACAGTGGTTACTTGCTTTACTATTTGTGACTAGGACATTTGCATACACAAATATATAAATCTGTAACATCGCTATTAATTTATTGCCAAAGCATTGCTTTTTCTATCGTAAAGATGGTAAGGTTGAGCTACCACAATATTTTCTTGCTTAGGATTTTTGATGCAATTTCACTTAACCCTGATAATACCAGTGTGTTGGAACAGCTTCCTCACTGCTAATAGTCCTTTGTTGTTATCAAATCAGTCGTTACCAGTCATTCATAGCTTATAGGTTGCTATCTCATAGGCTTGGCATGGAGCAGCCAACCAATGCGGTACATCGTGTAATGGCACTGGGCAACACTGTCATCGTGTCACTATCTCAGTGCTGCACTGTGGCATGGCATAATGCAAAATGATAGTTTTTTGTACTGCGATCCCTGCCGCTTCCGAAATAAATCCCATCGTGAAAAGGTGTGTCAAACATGCATTATTGTATTGACTCCGCACCTGACATATGACTGACCAAACACACATGATACAATACAATAATCACTTTCAGCAAAGCACACAACCAATAAGTGACATCACTTGCTCAGCCTGATTTGGGAATCCACAAAACATAGGTGACAAAGATACAAACACGTCTTCTACTCCCACATCCATGCAACGTGCTGCAGCCATCAGGCTGCTTTGCTCAAAAATATTGTTCACACAGGTAATGATACATGTTTAACAAGAAAATTTTGCTGTGTGACTGCAAACTCGCTGACCTTGCACAAGGCTGGAGACATGACAAATGCATGTAGTCATAGTTGGATGGGCAAAATGCAAGGAAGTGATGAGGCTGCCAGTGCGCGCAAGGCTCATGATGTGATAAAAATATTCTAAGTGCTATCCAGAAACCAACAGCAATACTTTTTTCACCATCCCTAGCACCGAGAATCTCACACAAGTTGTAGTGACTAGGACATTGATGACTCACAAGCAATGTTAGCCTGCGTACAAATTTTCTTCAAACGATTGTATGTACATCTATAATAATGCAGCGGTATATTTTCAGAACTCTTAACAGAAAAACCGTTTTGCAGAGCAGTATGATGTGGGCCGTGCGTTAATGAGCTGCACGGACCCAACCCTACTGCCAAAATGAATTGCTAATATAATGGCATGCAATGGATGAATTACGTGCTGTAGTGCCTCAAGAGGCTCATAATGTTGGCAAGATCAAAATGAACTAGCAAATTGACTTTGAACACAACTGCAGCATGGGTGCTAGCGTTTCCTTCATTTTACCGACATCACTACCTGGTCATGTTCAAACGCAAACCTAAATATAGAAGCAGGTGTTAATATATCACATTTGATTGAGAGTCATTAGATTATAAAAACAATAAAACAATGTTGTCTCAGACGTACAAACCTCGCACGCGCACTTCTCATCACATCAAGATCAATACAAGTCACTGGCACGCACCACCAGTGGTCACACCCATTTCAAGCGCCTGATTCAAACTCTGTCAAAGAAGTGGGATCTTACATTTGCACAACCCGCAGGACTATCAACTTATAGGTTTTCTCCCAATTTCCGCACAGATTTTGGATTATAACAACGCATTTCACAGTGAGCTCCCTTCAAAACAAAGTCCCAACGTGTGCTCATGGTAATACAACTCAAGAGCTTGTACTTATAAGACACAATTTCTTTGTTCAATATCTATATTTATCCTACAATATGTGTGAAGTACTTAGTAACATATATATTAATAAATACTGTAATATTTCCCTAATTTTGTAATGCCTTGCTAGCCCATAAACCCGTGCAGGGTTCTTTGTTCCGGTACACAATGCGCCAACCGAGCGGTCTATAACAAATACGTCCGTAGAAGAAGAAAACAAACGCCAGCGAAAGAAAAATGACAGACTTGCCGTCGCGTCTTCTTTTGTAGAGCACTCGGGGAATGCCGTTCTTTTTTCGTTGCTGTGCTTTTTTGCAGACAGTGGCGTTTTCTTTTTTGTAACATTGACCTATGGTCTAGAAATAAGGAAAAATGCCCCGTTGGCGACGAGTGCCGCACAACCCGAAAGTACTCACGCTGACGTCAAACGGCCAATCACCTTCCGCGGATTGTATCATAAGTGCCGCATTATCGCGCTTACGAATATATCAGCGGCCATGCTGTTTTGACCATAAGCAACCAACAGCCTGTTATATGTGTGTGTCATTGGGGCTTTACGACGCACTCAGCTGCTGAGGCTACATGGCGTCGCCTGCCTCTCACCCTGGTAGGAACGGCTCGCTGCTCAATGCAGTGAGTCTCGCTGCTCCCAGCCACCGCCCCGTCCATATATAAACGGCCGCCCGCCGCTGCCAGGCATCCATTACCGATCGCCTTCTCACCAAGGTAAGCAGCGGCGCGTCGCGGCCTGGGAGCAGCGAGACTCAACTAGCCGCAGGGACAGCGAACAGGTGCAGCGACCTGGGGAACCACTGTCTCGCTATGCCATCGGTGAATTGTAGGCCATAGCGGTGGCTGGCGGCCGGAGGTTTCATATGCTTTTTATACTGTGCATACCAGACAGCGCTTTGCGATTAAGCTGAACAGAATACGTGGTGTACATGAAAGCACTGGAACTTGTCCGACTGACAGCCGATCAGTGATCGACAACAGCCGTTGACGCAGTGCTGTGCTGCTGAGCTACCTGGCGCTGACTGGCTGACCTGGTGCAGTCTGGCATGGTCAGTGTGGTGCAGTTTGGTGTGGTGGCGGCCGCTCCCCTGACTGCGCTGTGGCTCGGCCGGGCGTGTCGACAGATGAGGACCCTCTCTCTGCTGCTCTGCGCTGCCCTGCTGGGCCTGGCTGCCCCTCAGTTCCGGTTCAGGCGTCCCCAGCGCCCGCGGAACTTCTTCCGGCCCCAGCAGAACTTCCGGCCTCAGCAGAATGTCGTGCAGAATCAGGGCCCGCCGCAGCAGAGTAAGTGACAGCAGCTGCAGCGCCCTCCGCTGCTGTAAGCTTTGGCCAAGTCCTGCTCGCCTCAGCGGACAACATCCTTTAGATCCCATGCGTGCCGTTCGGTGGCCGCAACAGGCTGCCTCTTAAAGTTTTGTGCAAAATATTGGGCGTTTTGAGCACGAAATCCCCTTTCTTGGCATCGCCACCCAATAACATAATACGGGCTACAACTAATTCATATATCTAAGGCCATCTCAGCACGTATGTATTCACTATCAGGTTGTGCAAGGTGCATTTCACTCCACACTAAACGCTAATTATATCTACATCAGCGTTTTGATCTTTGTGGAAGCCACCCATAAATCACGTTACGCATTTTTGGCAATTTTCAATCCCCTCACGTTCGTCACGTATCGGTCACTGGGGAAAATCCGTTTCCCTATTACGCTGTGTTGGGCATAATGTCCCCAAAATGGTGTCCGTTTGGACGCTGAACGAACTTAAGATGCGTAACAGGTCACCAGCGCATTGCTTGTTACGATAAAAACTGTCTATCCGTCATAAAGGTTTTAGACATTCCTAAAACGATTTCTTCCGTTATTAACAACCACACCTGGGCATAACGGCGCGCAAGCCGCCACCTACCCAGCGTTACACTTCTATTACTCCCTACAAAAAAATCACCATCCCCTCAATGCGCAACGAAATGTACGAACGGCCCAGTGCATATCCATAATCAAGTCGGCTTTGAGCTCTAAATCTAGGTGTGGATTTATTTTGGAAGACGCTGATCCTGGTGGATCGAGGCCGTCGGTGGTCAGCCTTACCTCTGGTGGCCCAGTCTGGTGCAGGGAGCTCTGGTCTGATCCGTGAAGACCAGCTGTGACATCCAGCGATACAATCATGCCCTTGACCCGATCTCGTCCGATGGTATATTCGGGGACTCGATATGAGTCGACTATTCAAAAACCCTACTTCTGACTTTATTTTTCTTCAAGCAATCCCTCGTACTTATAAACTGCGTAAAAACAATCACGCCGCATGAAAATGTTTGCAAACTTTACTCCCTCTTGGTTACAGGGCTCTTTGAAAGCAAGTTACTGTGTGCCATGGCGCAACATACGTGATTAAGTCGTGTTTTACTTTACTGTGGTGACGTACCATCCTCCTTAGCTTAATGTAAACACTGGTTGGAAGGAAAGCCGGTTTGGAGCAGAACAGCATACGACGCGAGAAACCAGACGAGAACCACCGATTATCTGTTGTGAGTTCGCTGATCCGAACCTACTCTCGGTAACCGGATTTTTCCCGCCGCCACTTGATCAGACCGGATCTGACATCCATTGATCCGATTTAATCGCCGGTAATCCCATCTGGCAGCTAGTACCCCCGTAAACTCTGGTGTCCTGGTCTCATCCGCTGTGAGCGGGCCTGGCTCCCAGTAATCCGACGTGACCTCTAGTGATTCGATGGAATACCCCAAAACTCTACCTGCCCCCAGTGACCTGACCTTTTGTCCGGTGACCTGAACTCGCCTTTGGTGGCCTGATGTGGCCGGCGCTGACCTGAACGGCGGCCGCTGACCCGTGCGTGTGCGCAGGCGGCGGTCTGTACTATTGATGTGACCGGCGCTGACCTGAGCGGCAGCCGCTGACTCGTGCGTGTGCGCAGGCGGCGGTCTGTACTACTCGTGGCGTGACCCGGCTGTCGGCCGCAACGCCAAGTTCTCCTGGGGTCAAGCCAACGCCGCCTGCCAGCGTCGCAACCAGCGTCTCGTCTCGCTGGAGACGGCCGGCAAGAACCAGCAGATCGTCGGCGAGATCGCCAGCGACAGTGAGTGTTCGGGAGACGCGGGGCTTCAGACGTGCAGAGACGTATAGCATGCTCGGAGCTACCCGCTCAGAGACGTTTTGAGGCAAGGCTTTCAGGGGCCTTGTCCTGTTAAAGCTGTGGTTATCGTTAACTGGGATCACCTCAAGCTTCCGTGTGTTCTGTGTGACCCTGCGCGCTAGCGGCCAAACTGGCCTGACGCCGGGTCTCTCTCCGCCGCAGACATCCCGTACATCTGGACCAGCGGCCAGCGGACGGGCCAGAACAGCTTCCAGTGGGCCAGCGGCCAGCAGGTGCAGCCGCTGAACTGGAGCCGCACCGGCGGCCGCGGCGTGCCGCAGCCCGACAACCGCGAGGGCGACGAAAACTGCCTGGCCATCCTCAACCGGTTCTACCCCGGCGACCAAATCACGTGGCACGACGTCTCCTGCCACCACAAGAAGCCGTACATCTGCGAGTAGGCTTTGTCCGAGGCCCATCGCCGCCTGGCCAGGCCGCGGCCATGGCGCGACTGACGGTCTGTGGTCGGTCGTAGACCGGCCGCGCCGCCCTCGGTGGCGACATCACCGCGCGTGGCATGAGGGAAACGAAGCGCAGGCTATGCCATAGCGAAGAGACTACCGAGTCCAGCCTTTCGTGATATCTTGTGGGAATTGAGCTCTTTTCTAAGTTATTGCACTGTTTTCCAAACACGGCGCTCTAACGTGCTTGGAAGATAAAATACACTGTATTTATTTGTACGAAATGAACTGTTGTTTGATGAGCAACTGATTGGCCGACCTACCCCAAACTATGCCTGAAGCCAGAAAGAACATCAGATAACCAGCAACACCTTCCGGTTATAATTTCACTTGGTTTCACTCTGACTTAACGCGTTATAGATACAAACCACTCTCGTTCCTAGGCTATTGCTTTAAATACAAAGCACATGCCTGGGCCAAACTATTCATGCACGAATGCACCAGTATGGAAGGCAAGGATCCATCATCAATTTGGGTTTTAGGGACATGTCACACATGTCAGTGCCCACCATTTAATGGAACGCCAGCATCTACAAAGACGATGCTAGCGCTCAGGGAACATAGCGCAGCTGGGATCTAACCCGGGCCATCCATGCTGGAACAGAAGGCGCCAACCACTTGGTCAATACAATGCCCCCCCCCCCCTTTAATCTCGCACCGAATCTTTGGGTGGGAAGAAACACAAAATGTGTGCCGCTCCGACGTATACACTCTACAACCGGATGCATAACTTGCCATTGATCTTTTGTGGCAGCGAGAAGACCTAATTTATCGAAACATTGAAACTATTTTTCTATGGGTTTTGGCGACTGGTGATGCGGGGTAGACGTTTAGGACACCAAGAATGTTTCTGCTTCCCGTCGTTTTGGGTTCACGGCCCCATTAGCTCCTTTGAATTTAACGGGACTGATATTGCGGCCCACTTGCACCCGTTGGGTTTTCTCTGACTGGTATCTTGTGCGGTAGTTGTGCAATTGCAAACTGCAAGCTACCAGTGCATTGGTGGGAGATTGCTGGTGTTGGCACTGCTCAGACCTGTTCTAACCGCAAATTAGCAGGTCATCAATTTATTGTCCACGATTTATGTCGGCGTACCTTGCGCTGGTGCAGCCGGAGAGGCCAGCCGACAGCTGTTTGAAAATTAGTGTTGAAGGTTGAAATGAAAGCCTGAAGCCCATTGCACGCCGAGTTTTTGCAATTTCCAGAAATGTAGCAATGTATGTGCTGATAATGTAACCGGCATCAAACATTCTTGGACAAGCTGAGTTAACACCTGGCCTCCTGCTGCGAACATCAGAATAAGTTGTTTCTTGTTTATTGGCTGGTCGTTATAGAGCTACATCCCTAGCATAATCCTGAAACCCTATTTTTGAGACTGAGCCGAAAACCCGGGGATACTGGAGGCGAACAATAGCCTATATTATTGTGCTATGCTCTAAACAAAACTACAACAGCTGTAGCAACAGTTATTGCAAAGTAAGTATTAGAGAACGAACATGGCAAGCTGTTGTAGAGCATGATAGCGAGTGACGTAAGCTTTGCGCCCCCAGCTTTGAAATAACTAGAACCTCTCCTGTACTTTGCACCAGCATAAACGTAAGTTCCTGAAGTAAGGCACCAGCACTTATCATTCATTTTTCCTGCCCCCATCGTCATGTTTCCATTTTTACAGCACTTACGTGCCATCTAAGCAAAGATACCGAGTTGTTGTTTGAGATATGCATGATTCTGCGTGATGTGCTGTTGGAGAAGAAAACATATGTTTCTGTAAGATAATATGAACTCAACATAAGATCGGTCATGATAATAGTTTAATTGCGCCCTAAGCATCTCAATGAGCATTCACGGGCATGAACCTGATTGCGTCCATACAGGAGTCCTTCCAAGCACAATCAGCCTGCGTAAGAACAAATAACCTTATCTTAAGTTCTGAGCATTATTTGGAACTTTCTGGGATTTTAACATACTTCTAATGGATCTTTGCATACATCATTTACGCTACGGCATAGTTATGATGTATCTTATGCGATCACGAATATAGATTCACAACATCCAGTCCTGACAATAAGCCTATGTTTGCTTGATACAGACGTTAAGCCATTACCTCCTGGCATTGGTTAAAGGTCGAAAACTATGAAGGTCGAAAATCATCAGCATAAAAAGCTGTGAGTTCCAAAGCTGAAAAACCATGAGCTCATGGTTTTGTTGCCAATATGAAGTGTCTCATTGAGTACTTCATCCGTCATAAACCTGAACCGCACCCTTAGGTAATGCACCCTCAAAAAACCTCGCACAACAAGTGCGTGGAGCCTTGGGTGCATGAATTTTGTCTCAAATGCGGCATAATCGCTGAAAAATACGCAACCATTAATACTTTGGACGGAGGGATTTCGAGTTTTGCTTAATGATCGGCTTCATCCTTTCCCGTCGCAGTTCTTATCGACACTGCCTCTTTCTTTTATCACAAATACATGATAAAGGCAGGAATGTAGGACATTGATATCAGAACCTCCAATCCTGTGATATTTCAGATATTTCAGCACATCGTATTTGTGATACTTTCTTGCTCTTCAATGTTCAGTGTCGACAGTATTGTCCGCATTACCTCAGGTATCGATAAGTAGGACTTCACTGCTTTGTGGTTTGATTAGGTGTTATGTGCCGGCACAACACCCACGCTTTTTGCAAAATAGCCCTTCTGCACTGTCGTATTTGCAGCTGCATTTTCGAAAGGCTGCACTCAGGTGTAGCATATTAAGGGCGACTTATTTAGCGTGCTAACTGAGGGGGGGGGGGGGGTATCCCACCAATCACTGCCAAATCTCCCCCAGCAAACCGCGACCCCTCCCCCCGCCCCCGCCCGAATGAAAACCTTGACTTCCCGGCAGCTCATACCCGACCAGATCGTTGACACGGTCGTTGAAACCGTAACACAGACCGCGTAAAAATGTGGCGAATCATTGCCCTGGGATCTACTGGCCTTGGGTCAATGTACTTCCACTGACGACGACTCCTCTGAGAGAAGTTTTTGGAGGCAAACGCAGTTTACCCCTCGGTTCTTTCCCAGTAACGCCATTATGCTTATTGTAAAATTTTGTCAATCTAGGATGTGGCATTTTTTCCGGGGAGGGGGAGGGGGGAGGGCAAGGATAGAGTAGACAATAGGGGCAGCTCCACGTGCTTCCCCATCCTTTGCTTTCACGAACTGCGCTTACATTGGCTGTCGTGTGATGCGCTGTCAAACAGTCCTGTTTTATAGCGAAGCTTGCCACGGTATCAACAAAGCATTGCCCATACTATTTTCTATTTACTTGTCATTATGAAGCACGGAAAGTTTGCTGGTGTTTTCATGTTTTGAACAGCCACGTGTAACTAATCAGTTGCCGTAAGGGCACTGACACACCAATACAGCTGTGGCACAGTCCAACGCAGTCATGCCATCCCGATTTTTGCGATGGCTCCAAATGTACAGCGTACATCTACACGTTCAAGCAAGCAGGGGCACGACTTAAAAGTAGTTACTAAAAACGAAATCAACGGTCCGCAGGCGTGCCCAATTTGGTGCGTGCCGTAAATTAGCATTGCATTTTCTCGACCTGATTTTTACGTGGCTGCCTATAACCGGTAAGTGCCAATATTAAGTCACGTACCTATAATTTGGTAACATACCTTAAATTTGGTAAGGGGACTCATGCACCCGGGGCTTCTTTGCCCGTACTACCCCGCCTATGTACGTCCATAGTCGCTGTCGTATCCACAGTGATTGATGTTTGCCTCCAGCAGTTCATGAGACTCAAATCGTGCCTCCAACGCCAAGTCTACCGCGACCAAGACACACGCGTTAACTCAACACGTCCGGAGGGTGTGAGCTGAATGGCCACAGAGCATCTTTGGAGCACTTTTAAGGTCATGCAGCGCGGGCCTGCAACATTGTAATGCAAAGTTGACTGATCCGATAGCAACGTAGCTCCGAACGAGTCCAACGTTTTATGCACGGCATACCAATAAACTTGTACGAAGTTCAAACGACTGCCGCTGGGCGATTACCGTTTGGATGTCACCTTACTTTGTTGCCAGCTGGAAACGCCAAGTCAGTCATGTTTCTACCTCCGTTGTTATATTTCTGGCTATCTTACCACTGTCGCAATGTTTCGATATGGCACAGTTCCAGTCTGATCCACAATTCACAGTTTACCGAATAATCACTGCTGCGACACCTCGGACAGCGTCGAATATCGCTGATAAGTTATCTACGCAAACAAAATTCACGATCGTCCTTAATCTGCGATACTACATTCCGTGCATTTGTGCCTCTCATGTAAATCAGCGATCTCCTAGAAGTGAAATTCTAGATTCATCGTTGCTCGCGCAGCAAAATCAATATTTTGCACGATTTGTCGCTCAATTTGTTTCACCACGCATACAAATACTGGCAATCCCATGAACCTAAAAATGGACCCTCCCACAGCCAGTACAGAAATACTGTACATCCCCACATCGTAGCCGACGCCATTCTGCAATCCAGGACTCCCAGCGCAGATCCCTTGGTGTAACAAAAAATAGACAGAGAAAAGTGAAATGTGTGCCGTTGTCGGAAAAGTCACCATGAGGTAAAAACTATGTTTGGCCTTTCATCTGCATCGAAGTTCCCCCATCACTGGATGAACAATTTCCTTTACCTAACCTAAAGACCTAAAGATTACTTCGAAACGCACGACAGCTGACGCCAACCAGCCATTCTCGTCGCGGGCGCCGCGTTGGGTGACGGATTAGTGAATGGATCGTTTGTGGATTTTTGTCTTGATGCTGGTCATGATTGAAGCTTTGGTGGGCTGTCTGACAGAAGCAACGTAGCGATCATCAGCTTTTAGGGGAGATTGTTAATATCAAAGCACGATATGATATGAAGACTGTCATGTAGCGTCGTGAATCTCTCACCG